TCGTTTCCGTTTGAGTGGGCTGCTATCTTCGTTTTGTTGTTTCTTATGCTTTCGAGTTGAAGATGCCGGGTGGCCTCTTTGAGTTGCTTCACCTCCTTGTGTATTGCTGCGAAGTCGTCTTTCAGGCATTCCTTGAGGATGTACAGGTCTTGTGTGCACTTCTTCTCTAGATCTCCGGGTTTCACGTGTGCGTCGTGGATCTGCCTTTTTCTGTCTTTTTCTTTCTTCGCGTTTTCTCTGGCTTCTATCACTCTGTGCGTGGCTTCGAGTACACAGCTGAGTTTGTCGCATTCTTTGTTTGCCTCGGTTACCTCTGCTTTTGTTTTTGTGAGGTCTTCCTTGATGGTGGCTATCTCGGAAAGTATACTTTTCTGGTTGTCTTTCAGTTCTTTGGCGGCTACTGCATTTGTTTCCTTTAACTTCTTGAGCTCGGTTAGATTTGCCATCAATTCTGTTTTGAACTTCGCCATTTCTGTATTTTCCTCCTCGAGTCTCCTTTGGGTCTCGAGAGATGCCTGCAGGATGCTTCTCAGGTCTATCTTTTCGTCCCTGTCTTGAGTCCTGGGTGCCACGATTCTTGCGTTCTCTTCTCGCAGGGATTTGATTTCGTCTCTCAGCTGCGTAATGTCGTTGTTGTTCACAGCTGTCGGACTGGGCGCCTGATATCTTTGTTTCGGCTCTGGGTTGTGTGTGGTCCTGGTGGTGGTATTCGCCATCGCTCTCTTGACTTCTTTCAGGTACGGGCAACCCATGTACCTGGCGCTGTGTGCACCGGAGCAGTTGGAACATCTTCTGCTTGCGTTCGGCTTTTTAAAGTCAGGGTCCACTTTTGCCAGAGGGCATTCCCTGAATAGGTGAGGGCCGGAACAGTAACGGCACGAAGGGCTGCTGCGGCATGACGAGGCAGAGTGCCACGCCTTGTTGCAGCGAGAGCACTGCAAAACTTCTGTGGTGTAGGCTCCCGGTCGTTGCTGCTGCTGCCTGAGCGGGCGGGTGTTGCTCGGTTCCTGCGCCACGACTGGGGCGGCTTATAGGTAGACGGGTGCCTCGATAGGGCCCACATCCAGGGCTGGCGGCGTCTGGGTGTGTGAGGCTGGTGTCTCCTCCGGGTCGTCGACCGGTTCTGGCTTCGTCAGTTCTGGTGCGGCGACAGGTGCTTCCTCCTTTTTGGCTGAGGATGCTCTGGTGTCCCGGCGCTGGATCGGATTCTTCTTACCACGGGCCATGGTTTCGTGTGGCTGAGGCTGGTAAGTCGGGCGGCAATTGATTGCTCGGTCCCTGCAGAGTCTGGCAAGGCTTGTTAGAGTATCCTGAGAAAGACACCCAAGCGTGCTTTTCTCCGCAGTTCTCGAGACAATCGTTAAAAAAAACTGGCTGGTATGACTGGCTCCTCAACAATGATGTGCTCCCGGGCCGCTAATAACCCACCCGCAGACGAATAACAATAGCTTAGTCGAGCCAAAACTCAGCCGAATATCAAGCGAGTTCTGACCAGTATCTAGCTATTGATAATCTGGCTGCGAATGGATAGTTAGCAAGCTAACGAGAGACACGTGGCTGATCGGGCGGTAAATCGAGCGAGCGAGAGAGAGCTGTGTCCGACTGGGCTGTCTCCGCTGGACTGATGCACGTGGCTTGCTTGACTCAACCTAACATAACGACACAAGGAGAAATTTCAAGAACAGTTTGTTGACAAGAACTTTGAGAAAAACACCAACATAATTCAAAGTGTCAAATAAGAAAGAAACAACAACAAATAGTTGTGTTCGAAAATCAGTGAATTGGTTGGCACTGTTCTGACTTGACAATGTCGTTTGCACCCCGTGAGTTTAGTTTGTGACCGATCAGGTCCTTCTGGCCAGACTCCGTGCAGAAGAGATACACTTTCAGTCTCCACCGGAAAGCCACGTTGATGTTAACCGCTAACTTTGGCTTGAGGTCACTCTTCGAGTCAAGCTGGCAGCCTTGTTTTGTTTTCACCGCCGTTAAAGCTGAATAACCTGATTATTACAAGCAGAACTTAACGTCATTTTAAAATTGTTTCACATCCTTTCTCCTCCCTTCTCACACCCAGCTCCTCCTTGAAATTACGCATGCCGCCCTAGCCATCTTCCCCTTTGAGACTTCCTTATGCCGCCCTAGCCACACCTTTGAAATTTCCTATACCACCCTAGCCCCACTCTAGAAATTCCTTATGCCGCCCTAGCCACACCTTCGAAATTTCCTATACCCCCCTCCCCATAGCCACACCCTAAAAACTCCTTATGCCGCCCTAGCCACACCTTCGAAATTTCCTATACCACCCTAGCCACACCCTGGAAATTCCTTATGCCCTCCTAGCCACACCCTAGAAATTCCTTATGCCGCCCTAGCCACACCCTAGACATTCCTTATGCCGCCCTAGCCACGCCCCCTCTCTTTGAAACTTCCTTATGCTTCCCTAGCCCCCTACCCCTTATAAATTGTCTTATGCCCCCCTAGCCACCCCTTTGAAACTTTCTTATGCTGCAATAGCAACCCCTTTGAAACTTCCTTATGCTGATCTGGCCCCTCCTCAAGAAATTTTCTTATGCCGCCCTAGCAACCCCTTTGAAACTTCCTTATGCTGCACTTGCCACCCCATTTGAAACTTCCTTATGCCGGCCTAGCCACCCCCTTTGAAACTTCCTTATGCTGCAATAGCAACCCCTTTGAAACTTCCTTATGCTGATCTGGCCCCTCCCCTAGAAATTTTCTTATGCCGCCCTAGCCACCCCCTTTGAAACTTCCTTATGCCGCTGTAGCCACCTCCTTTGAAACTTCCTTATGCCGCCCTAGCCACCCCCTTTGAAACTTCCTTATGCCGCCCTAGCCACCCTCTTTGAAACTTCCTTATGCCGCTCTAGCCACCCCCTTTGAAACTTCCTTATGCCGCCCTAGCCACCTCCTTTGAAACTTCCTTATGCTGCCCTTGCCAACCCCCTCCCCCCCCCCTTTCCCCTTGAAACTTTCTTGTGTCGCCCAAGCCACCCCCATCTTCCCCTTGAAACTTCCTTATGCTGCCCTTGCCACCCCCCCCCCCTTCCCCCCTTGAAACGTACTTGTGTTGCCCAAGCCACCCCCATCTTCCCCTTGAAACTTCCTTATGCTGCCCAACTCCCCCCCACCACCATAGAAAATGCCTTCTGCAGCCCTAGCGCCACCCTCCTCCGTCCAGATTGAAGACGAGTGTTAGAGATAATCACATATCCTGAAGTTAAATTGTATTTAATCATTTGTTAAATTTTTGAATTTCTGATTCTGCAGTGCTCATTGGCCATGCTAGCACGTCCTACCCAGTGTGAATACAACACTAAAAATGTCAATACATATTGACACCAAGGATAAACACTATCCCACAGCTCCCTTGGGATAACACCTAATAATTAAAAACACTATAGCTATTAAGAATAATGCCTCTAAATATACTAGATTTATTACATACCCTGAATTATCAAACAAAGCTACGGCTATTAAAACAAGACTGCTTCTTGTTTATGATCGTGCTGTGAGTATATTTACCGTGGTAGCACTTTGCGATTCTCGAATGTGTTGCTAAGTACGTTTATGAACTGGAGAGCAAAGTGTCTTAAAGTACTTTGGACGACATCCATGCTGTAAACAAACTGGTAGTTAGGGAACAGGTAATGCAATGTTGTAGTATGGTGTCCGGACTTAGTGATGCCAGTATCAGGGCTATGTACAAGGCACGGCAGGGAAGGTAGGACCGAGAAGTGTGAAGCATTGTATTCAACCCCACCAAGACCGGGCAAGGTGCGACCAACAGCCGGCGAAACAAAATGCCGACATTCTGATGAGGTTCACAGCACAGGTCCCATAAACCTCATTCAAACATTCAGTTATCTTAGGGTCCCCGACTACAGCCAGGGTGGAGCTTTCAGATAACGAAAAAAATTGCATCCCATATATAAGTTAAGCTGTGAATCTGCAATAATGACAAGACTGCAAAAAATCTGAAAATTTGTGAGGCCAGACAAAAGCACCACCAGGAGCAACAATAACAGCAAAAACAAAATTAACTCACACTCAACTATTGTCGCCAGCTGCATCTCGTTAAGAAATTTATTTGCACAAAAACGAAAAAAAAAAAAAAATATGGGCGGTGGGTAGGGGGCGGGGTTATTGACCCACTGTCTCATTCACAAGTATGCTGTATATGGCGACTACTTAGCGATGTCGGAGTGCATATGTCTGAGAGGCAAGAAGCCAAAAGTTCTGCATACAAATAAGCTAGATCTGTTCAATGATCGGGCACGCAAAACCTAAGCACCGGAACTAGCACAAAATCCAGAAGAAGAAAAAGAAGAAGAAAAAGAAGAAGATAAAGAAAAAGAAGAAGAAGATGAAGAAGAAGAAGAAGAAGAAAAGAAGAAGAAGAAGAAGAAGAAGAAGAAGAAGAAGAAGAAGAAGAAGAAGAAGAAGAAGAAGAAGAAGAAAAGAAGAAGAAGAAGAAAAGAAGAAGAAGAAGAAGAAGAAGAAGAAAGAAGAAGAAGAAGAAGAAGAAGAAGAAGAAGAAGAAAGAAGAAGAAGAAGAAGAAGAAGAAGAAGAAGAAAGAAGAAGAAGAAGAAGAAGAAGAAGAAGAAGAAGAAGAAGAAGAAGAAGAAGAAGAAGAAGAAGAAGAAGAAGAAGAAGAAGAAGAAGAAGAAGAAGAAGAAGAAGAAGAAGAAGAAGAAGAAGAAGAAGAAGAAGAAGAAGAAGAAAAGAAGAAGAAAATGACGAAGAAGAAGAAAACAAACAGCATCATGTAGCAGGTCCTTTGCAGAATGTCGGTCGCTTCAAGGCACTTTCTTCTTAAATTTAAACACATTCATTTTCAGAGTTTCGTCATGTGTTCAGCCCTGCCTCTACTCCCCGAAACAATCCCTCTCCTCCCCCACCCACCCCATTTCTTTTTTCTTCAAACTACTATGTCGTTTAACTTTGCCATATTACACAGCCATATTGTTCTGCAAATCACTGAATGAACCTCAGGCATAAATCACGAGTTACAACTCGAGGTTTTACGAGAGCCACGCGTCTAATGGAATCCAACGCCGACAAGCATCCTTGTACTATGGCAAGGCTTCTCTTGTCTCGGAGGCCCATATATAAATAACAATCTCACTTCAGTACAGTCTGAAACGGGCAATTAGATAAAGAAATGTGCAGAATCTGAGTCGCTTCTAATTGCAGTTCTCGTTGGCTGTAAAGGGTGTCCACGCCTCTATTCACGTCGTATTAGTAAGTGCTGAAAACGATATCCGGTTCAGAAACACCCACTTTAGACACACACACACACACACACACCAGTTTGGACTTATCCCTTCAAATATCTTTTTATAATGGTGTAACAGTTTTATGTTTTATTTTTAATGTGCATTTGTAAATTCATCTTGCCAGCCAAGATTAACTACAATTTAAATGAGGACACTCACAATATATTGCACAAATTAAAGTCAGTTATATTTTGCTGGATTCCGTTATAGTTATATTTTGACTATACAAATTCACACGGGAAAAAACGTTCATCTGAGTAATTAAAATTATTCACTTCAAGAAATATGCACTGTTAATATACTTGGATGAATAAGGTAACACAAACAGATTAACTTTTCAAAAGAAGAATTATCTAGAAATACCTAAAAGTTAGTTAAAACCCGGTAAGAAATACCAGTGTCTATTGATAATGCTTGGCGATAAGGGTGTGAAGGAGATCGGCAACGGCGTGGACAACAATGGGTCCAACAAAGATGTGGTCAAAGGAGATCATCTGTCTGTAGCTAACTTGAAGGAGAAATACCATCGCGACTATCTCAGTGCCAAGGAGGTAAGAACAAATGTTACTGACGTTGTCTTTATCATCATGTAGAGTGTCATTTGCAGAACGTCGCTCTCATAACGGTCAGCTCTCCTGTGTTTATCATGTGCCCAAAATCGTGATGATCAGCACTTGCCAATCGCTTTCTCTTAGCGGAAAATGTATGCCTCTCTGGTATCTCACGTCTGCACCAATCTCAAAGTTTGTCCTATCGTCTTACTGTTTGCCTCACATTCACTGAGACGCCTAAACATTTGAGAACCTAATTTAGGGCATAACCTACAGAAACTACCAGAGCCTTTTGGCACTATTGGCTCATGGGGTATCGAAATGCTACATTCTTTCTTTGGTGTACCAATCGTGCCGCCCCGGGGAAGGTTTTTAAATGGGCAATATCATTACTTTTTCCAACCTTTTTTAATTTAACAAGTTTAAATGCTTTCAAGTAAAAAAACGACATAATTTTTTTTTTAAAAGAGATTGTTTTTTTTCTTCAGCAATACCATTTTTGAGGGAGTAATTAACTCGTTCACTCAGACGACATGCCACTATGATTTTTTTTAAAGAATTTTAGTGTGTGTAACAGTTTTGGGGTGGAGGAATGGGGAGGGGGGAGGGGGTAGTGGCGGTAAACTGACATGCTTGGGATATTCCGATGACAGCAAATATCAGTGGGATGTCCCATTTTTAGCTGAAATTATTAGTGGGATGTCGCATTTTTAGCTGAAATTATTAGTGGAATGTCGCATTTTTAGCTAAACATAGTGGGATGTCCCATTTTTAGCTGAAATTTTTAGTGGGATGTCCCATTTTTTAGCTGAAATTAGTAGTGGAATGTCCCATTTTTAGCTGAAATTATTAGTGGGATGTCCCATTTTTAGCTGAAATTATTAGTGGGATGTCCCATTTTTTTTACCTGAAATTATTAGTGGGATGTCCCATTTTTCAAATGAAATTATTAGTGGGATGTCGCATTTTCATCTGAACTTAGTGGGATGTCGCATTTTTAGCTGAACATAGTGGGATGTCGCATTTCCAGCTGAACATAGTGGGATGTCGCATTTTAGCTGAAAATATTAGTGGGATGTCGCTTTTTAGCTGAACATATTAGTGGGATGTCGCATTTTTAGCTGAACATAGTGGATTGTCGCATTTTATCTGAAATTATTAGTGGGTTGTCGCATTTTAGCTGAACAAAGTGGGATGTCCCATTTTTAGCTGAACATAGTGGATTGTCGCATTTTAGCTGAAATTATTAGTGGGATGTCGCATTTTTAGCTGAACATAGTGGGATGTCCCATTTTTCGAACATAGTTTTAGCTGAAAATTATTAGTGGGATGTCGCATTTTAGCTGAATTATAGTGGGATGGATGTCGCATTTTATCTGAAATTTTAGTGGGATGTGCATTTTATTATAGTGGGATGTCGCATTTTTAGCTGAACATAGTGGATTGTCGCATTTTATCTGAAATTATTAGTGGGATGTCGCATTTTAGCTGAACATAGTGGGATGTCGCATTTTAGCTGAATTATAGTGGGATGTCGCATTTTAGCTTACATTTTTAGTGGGATGTCGCATTTTTTTTAGCTGAAAATATTAGTGGGGTGTCAATTTTTAGCTTAAATTTTCAGTGGGGTGTCAATTTTTAGCTGAAATTATCAGTGGGGCGTCCATTTTTAGCTGAAATTATTAGTGGGGTGTCCATTTTTAGCTGAAATTATTTGCGGGGTGTCCATTTTGAGCTGAACATAGTGGGATGTCCCATTTTATTTAGCTGAAATTATCAGTGGGATGTTCTATTTTAAGCTCACGATAGTAAGGTCACCCCGGTCTAGCGACCACCCTAACAAAGTTCTTAGTACCTGACGTAAGTGAACACAACTGTAGCCCATGCTGCTTGTGGCTGAATGTGTTTTTCTTTTGTCTGTCCCAGTCTATGGCTAGAACAAGTGAGAAACCTTCCATCAGCTCAGGTGACCTGGACGATGACAAGGTGGACCTCTCTTGTGGGGTCTGGAAGTTCAGAACCAATGTCTTGGGCACCAAGTTCGCCAACCTGTACACCTTTACGGTGCTGGTGGGGATCTCCATGTTGTTTACTCAGATGGTTCAGTCCGTTATCCATGTTCAGGTGAGTTTGAACATTTAGGCAACAACTAGGAAGACCATTGTTCATTTTTCTTCACATTTTTTTTGGCTAGCCGCTGATCTACAGGTCAGAAGGTACCGGATTCGAGAAAAAAGCATCTAGGTGGATACCCCCCCCCCCCTTCCCACCCCAATTGGTCTTGCCTCCATTCTCGATCCAGCGTCAAAAGGCAATGAGTGATGTTATAAGAAGGAAGCTGACGAGATGTTGACAACATAAAAAAATATCGAGTAAACAGAGGTTTTTTAAAAACTGTGCATCTATCACTATATACTTGTCACATCATTGGCATGAAGACAGTCGTTTACGTTTAGACTGATTTTACATTATCAGAATTATTGCCCACTGGGGATGGTAATAAGCAATCTAGTCTTCCTCGAGTGTAGTTAGTGTATACAAGGAGAAGACTGAAGACAGACTTCTATCGCATTTGTTGGTAGTAGGGCTGTTGATCAAGCTAAATGTTTAGGAAACTGTATTTCTTCCAGTACTGCTGAAAGCTTGCGAAACATGGACTGTGTATCAGCGCCATGCTAAAAAGTTGAATCAGTTTCATATAAACTGTCTCAGAAAGGTGCTCAAAATCAGATGGCAAGATAAGATCCCAAATACTGTGGTTCTTGATAGGGTAAACCAGCATAACATCCAGACGATACTGAAGAGTTATCAGCTGCGTTGGGCTGGTCACCTAACCCGCATACAGGAAAATCGCCACCCAAAAAGAGTATGTTTTTGCGAGCTCCAGCAATGGAAGAGGTCCCAGGGAGGACAGAAAAAGCGCTATAAGGACATTCCCAAGATTGCTCTCAATTTGTTTGCCATCAACACAGCGACCTGGGAGGCTGCTGCACAAGACCGTTCTAAAAGCCTACGTCTCTCAAGCATGGTGTATCGGCCTGCCAGGCAGCATAGGTTGCACAGGTTGATAAACGGAGGCAGACTAGAAAGAATCGTATTGCTAATCCCACACTTACTGCCGCTTCCATCTGTTGTCCTCAAGAACTTTCCAGGCTCATATTGGACTAATCATCCACTTTCCTACTCATAATCATTGATCATTACTACTTTGGATGAAAGTGGTCTTTCTCACTCGTGATGGACGAACAACAGTAGTGGTGTAGACGATAGGCACGGAAACTCCCAGACAAATCCAATATACATAATTAGATACACAGTCTGAGAAAAGCCAGACAAATACAAAGGGACAATAGGCACCGGACTAGGAAAATAGCGAAAGCTCCTGTGACAACAACTTTATACATACGATTAGAAAAGAGTCGAGATGAATTACCGAGTGATATCACAGCAATAGAGACATCCCGATAAGCTCCTTGACCCAGACTTCAGCAGCAAGCACATAGCTCCAATGTCAATTTTACCATCATTAGTCTACTTATATGCCAGTTTCGCTTTTCCACAGAAAGTTGAGTTCGGGAAAAATCCCGTGGTTACTTTCGCTGCACAGTATTTGTTTTTCTGACCGTGGTGATCCCTCTTCTTCTTCTTTGAGTTCACCGGTGGTAAACTCCGGCGGAATACTTCCGTTGTTCATTCACCTGTGTTTTTTAGTCTTGTTCCAAAACCTAAGTGTTGCTTGCACATCTTTTTTACCGATCTGGCTTGTTTGTTTGCAGACTGTTTGTTTCTTGCCTCTGATGCCGACGCACTCCGATTTGAAAGAAAACGCCAAGTTAATCGACTCTTAGGACATGCTTGTTGAGTTGGGGGGGGGGGTCGGGGGGGGGGGGGGGGGGTCGGTAGGTCTATTCTCTTTTTCCCCAACAATATGGCTCTTGAATCCACTCCAGGACGTGACCATCTATTTGTGCAACAAGTACAACGACATACATGATAGATAGTATAGACAAGACAGGGAGACTTAATTGTTTAGCCTGACGAACACTGGTTATGGAATCTAGACTTCTGACTTAGACCTTGTAAGAAGCCACCCCAAGTAAAAACAAAGTAAAGTAAAGGAACCTTCTCTACGCTTTTAGGCTATTGGGCATATAGGGCTAGACATATATTTTATTTACCAAACGTCACTTTGTTGATGTTGTCAGCATCACGCCGGCCACCTTTAGTTCCCAGGACTGTACCTGGTATCCAGTCAGGGCTGGGTCGACCTGGGAGCCAAGGTCATTTTTGAAACAAAAGTCTGGCCCTCGACAGGAACCGAACCCACGACCTTCTGATAATGTAGCTGTTAGACCTCGGCGGCTCCCAGGTAAGAACACATCTACACTTAAACTCAAAAGATAACCACTGTGAGACATCCCTGTCTAACTGATGTATAAACAACTATGCTGATTGAACAGCACAGGTAAAATCATATAGTACAGATTTTTTATTTTGCCATTTTGTAGTCATCATCTATTACTATTTATGTGTAAAACACCCCCCCCCCCCTCCAACCCAAATCATTGCTCTTGCACTAAGCCATTTGTCAGGTTTTCAAAACCATATTGTCACATGTCTTTGATGTCAGGACTTGGTATATACTTACCCACAATATTGTCCAGTGTATAAGACGCACCCAAAACATAGAAAAACAAACAGTAAAAAGGCACATTTAAAGACAAACAGAACTAATGTTAACAATTATTCACTGACCCACAGAAGCCTTCAAATGCATTCCTATCGCTGCCGTCCGGACTTTCTTTTCACTGAATAAAGCTAAAGAAAGGGGTGTAGAGAAGTCAATAACCCCTCGAGAGCAATACGAAAAAAATGTGTTTTAAAAAGTATGACAATTCTTCCAATCCGATAATGTAATAATTTGGGAGATCTACGGTACCGCAGGCGCTGAAGGTTTGCCTCCTGACTAGAAGATATTGCTTTTCAATCAGCACTGTGGCTTAATTCTTTTTTTAAACTGACCATTGCTCTGAAGTTGACCAGCCAAAAAAATAGTGCAGGAAAATGTCATGGTAAGTAAAATCGGTGTTGACCCCTATCATTTACCAAGTGGTCATTTTAGAAATATGGATATCTCACTATATGCCCAGCAAGGTCGTGGGTTCAGTTCCTGTCGGAGTCATACGTTTTTCAAAAATGACCTAGGCTCTCAGGTCGACCCAGCCTTGAGTGCGTAACAGGTACAGTCCTGGGAAGTGAAGACGACCGGCGTGATGCTGACCAAATCACCCACCTAATGCCGATGTGTCTATACAATATAGGTCTAGCCCTATATGCCTAATACGCACGAAAGCGTGGAAGAGGGTCCTTTACTTTTACGGAAGGGGGAGGGGTGTGTCTCTCATTTACTTAAACGGAATTGTATTTTCAGCTGACATCTATAGAAAGGCAGTTCAAGATCGACAACGCCAGGGCGGGACTGTTTGACACTGCCTCCAAGGCTGGACATCTGACCACTATTTTGTTAGCTGGACACTTTGCCAAGGTAGGCTGTTTTGTGTACTTTCCTTTAACTCATAGACCACGCAGTCGTAATTACTTTGAGACTTGTGTATAGTACGGTTAGGCAGATTGATAACACATGTCAAACTGAAGATAGTGTATTATTATAGGTCATTGTTCATTTTTTTTCAAAATCATCTCAAAACATATCGTGACAGGACCATCAGTGCTACGATCTCCCTCTGAGTGTGCTTCCAAATGTTTTGAAGCTAACAACTCCCATTTTGTTTTGGCTGATGTAACGACGGGTGGCTCCAGGATGGATTTTTTTTTTCTGGTGGCGTGGGGGAGGGGGGATGTTTACACCGTGGGTATGCAGTATATTCGGTGAAAAAATCAGTTTTCACCAAACTGAAAGCTTCACAGCGTTGAGTATCCCGTATGGCACTGATGATGTCTCACCTGTTCATTTGTAGCCCATTCCTGATAGTCGCGCTGCTAGCCATAGCGTCTGCTCTTTCATTACCTGTCACACCAGCATTCCCTGGGACAAAAGTAAAGGTGAGAAACGCTGTTTGCTGTATCAGATGGATCCGTATGTACACAGCCTTGTTCTTCTGTAGTATTAATGCAGATAATAATTCCGGGGGACACAAATGACGGTGACTCAAAGAATAGCTTACCCAGTCATAATGTAGATACGCAGCTCGCTTATATGGGTATATTAAATCTCAGTTTATATGCTAAGAAAACTTTTCACAACTACGTCATTACCAGCACCAGCACCACCTTCATTATCATCATAATCATCAAATGTCTTGCTGACTGATATAACCAAAGGATGTAACAGTTCTCATGTCATCTTTTCGTGCAACAGCAAACATTGGTCAATAATCTTTGTGTGTGTGTGGGTGTGTGTGTGTGTGTGTGTGTGTGGGTGTGTGTGTGTGTGTGCGTGTGTGTGGGTGTGTGGGTGTGCGTGTGTGGGTGAGTGTGTGGGTGTGTGTGTGGGTGAGTGTGTGGGTGTGTGGGTGTGGGTGTGTGTGTGTAGGTGTGTGTGCGTGTGTGTGTGTGTATCTATGTGTGTGTGTGTGTATGTGTGTGTGTGTGTGCGTGCGTGTGTGGGTCATTATGTCTGCTATTTTTCGATTAGTATGTTTTCACGAAGATACTGCATAAGTCGTCTCCAGTTCTTAATCCATTCCAAAGAATATAAACAGTTAGTTCCCAATCAAAATGAATGATTGCATTCTAAAGTTGAGAGTTAAAAAAAATCTTGGACGCTTTCAATTTGTTCCACGTACACTTAGGGGCAACGACCATACTTATCTAGAAAAACAATTCAGCCATCATCATCATCTTCATCATCATCACCATCATCATCATCATTATCATCATCATAATCATCATCATCAACAGCTACAACTTGCCAATAAAACCTGCACGTTTATTCACCTCCAGAGAGTCCACATCCCTGTAGTTATCGGACTGGCGGGCATGTTCCAGGGAACCATCCTGATGATTCCAGCCTTCATGCAGATAGCCAATCCTTACACACTGCCACTGTTGTAAGTTATACCAAGTTAGCCAATCCTTACACACTGCCGCTGTTGTAAGTTATACCACGTTAGTCAATCCTTACACACTGCCACTGTTGTAAGTTATACCAAGTTAGCCAATCCTTACACACTGCCGCTGTTGTAAGTTATACCAAGTTAGCTAATCCTTACACACTGCCGCTGTTGTAAGTTATACCACGTTAGCCAATCCTTACACACTGCCGCTGTTGTAAGTTATAGCGAGTTAGCCAATCCTTACACACTGCCGCTGTTGTAAGTTATACCACGTTAGCCAATCCTTACACACTGCCGCTGTTGTAAGTTATACCACGTTAGCCAATCCTTACACACTGCCGCTGTTGTAAGTTATACCAAGTTAGCCAATCCTTACACACTGCCGCTGTTGTAAGTTATACCACGTTAGCCAATCCTTACACACTGCCGCTGTTGTAAGTTATACCACGTTAGCCAATCCTTACACACTGCCGCTGTTGTAAGTTATACCACGTTAGTCAATCCTTACACACTGCCGCTGTTGTAAGTTATGCCACGTTAGTCAATCCTTACACACTGCCACTGTTGTAAGTTATAGCGAGTTAGCCAATCCTTACACACTGCCACTGTTGTAAGTTATAGCGAGATAGCCAATCCTTACACACTGCCGCTGTTGTAAGTTATACCACGTTAGCCAATCCTTACACACTGCCGCTGTTGTAAGTTATACCACGTTAGCCAATCCTTACACACTGCCGCTGTTGTAAGTTATACCAACACTGTTGTAGGGTTCTAAACCACTGGGCTGAATGATTAAACAATAATATATGTTTCTGTACCACTACTGTAAGTTACTTACAATTTCTATAAACTACTATACCACTACTTTACTTTACCATACCTTTGCTTAAAATAACTTACCACGCCATTACTGTAAGTTACGATATCACTAATTTAGATTACTACACTAATATAAGCTGTTGTACCACTATTGTAAGCTGCTATATCACTACTGTAAGTATTTATACCTCTACTTTAGTTACTATACCACAAATACCACTATTTAAGTTACTATACCCATATGCCAGTCATCAGAGCAGCTGGTAAAACATCAGATTGGTTCGAGATGCAAAAGGGAGTGAAGCAGGGGTGCATTCTCTTACCAAACTTATAAAATATATACGCCGAAATAGTAATGAGAAATGTCAAAAATGACCAGACTTGTTACAACTATGATGCGCTCAAAATTGGTGGCAACCCTCTTGCGGAACTTCGCTACGCAGATGACACAGTCCTCCTTTCTGAACATCAAGAAAGATTGGCTAATAAACAGCATCCTGTCTCGGAAGCTAAAATATTTTGGTCATATCAAGCGCCACGACGGATGTGAAAAAAAATTATAGCAGAAGGCATGGTACCAGTAAGGAGGGTCAGGAGCCGAACGATACGAATGATATAAGTGACTCCTTGAGTGTCAAAGTACATGAGGCGGGAGAGCTGGCGAGAGACTGAGTTTCTTTCTGGCAGACCGTGATGAGAGCGACGTTCTGCAAATGACCTGCTACATGATGATGATACCCATATTGCAAGATACAGTCATCATATTATACTATACTTACACTTCCGGTCAAAATGGACGTTAGGTAGCGGCGCTGTTCGAAACAGAGGCACATTTTTTCTTTTGCCGGACAGTGGCCGATGAATTTTTGTTCCATTTGTAGACTGGATATAGTTTCGTCGCCCAGCTTCTGAGTTGAATGCATGGCGTGACCATGTGAGCTGCGGATTGCATTTGGAATGTTTTTTCGACTGTGACCAACGTGTTGGTGTGAATTGTAGATTCAGAAAATGGCGCGATGCCTGTCGTGCAGTGTGGTGGTGCCCGTATGTGATTAAAATTTATCGCGTGGGCAACTGCTGATCTGTTGGCGACTTCTGCTACCATCAATGATGAACTGCAATTCTAATACTGTTATAAACATTCTGTATGTTTTTCGTTGGCACAGGCGCGGAGCAAAGATGGAGCGACCTGTTTGCTATGAAGCTGAAACTAAGACTACCAGACTACCAGATAATTTACTATACTGTGTCGATAATGTAGGCTGTCTTATTTTACCAACTCACACCTTCGCCAGTATCATGGATCAGGTCATTGCTTTTTCCTACCATATCCATACTGGTATTAGCAAGCCATCTTGGTATGTATGTCTTTGCTTTGTTCTTGTCCTCCTCCCGTCAATCTTGCCAGTCGTTAGTAAATCCATGAGTCTATTACGTCATCGATATTGTGGAATACGTACTCCCCTTGGCATATGCGAGTTGCTACACCACTATTGTAATTTACTTTACAACCATGTTACTCTACTTCTACTTCTTCTTAGGAGTCGTCGTGGCCGAGCGGCTAGACGCTCGCAGCAGATCGGAAGGTCGTGGGTTCGCTCCCTGGCGGGGCCGGATTGTTTTCAAAAATGACCTTGGCTTCCAGGTCGACCCAGCCTTGAGTGAGTACCGGGTGCAGTCCCGGGAAGTGAAGGCGGCCGGCGTGATGCTAACTACATCACCCATCCTGTGCCGATTGGTCTATATGCCCTATATGCCCTTTACGCCTAAAGGCGTAGAAAAAGGGTCCTCTACTTTAACTTTTTTATTACTTCTTTTTGTGTCATTCTCACTGATACCAGGTTGTAGACCAGTGTTTTCTGGATTTACCCTGCGCTTGGGTGATGGATTTCTGTATCTTTCTGCAGGTTTCGGATACGCCAGTTATCTATCTCCTTTTTGGTCTGGCTGCATTCGCATTAGAAGGCCGAACCATTTCATTCTTTGTGTGTCAAAATAATCCAGACATGGTCGTATTCGAATTTTCTCTCTAATGCTGGTATTCGTAACCCTGTATCTTCTTCTATTGTTGCGGAGGCAGAGCATTTCATATGAAGTTATTTACTGTACTAGTGCCTAGTTTACTCGACGACTAGTGTAAATTACTATTTCATTTCATTAACAATGAGACGAATTGTGTATACTTTGATGCGAACATGTTATCTTTCCACAGAACGGGTTCTGACTCGGCAAACGGCTCAGGGAAGAATTCGCACGGAGACAACGAGCAGTACTTCTGTCGCAATAACGACACGTTCTACAACGAGACTGTAACAACAAGCAGACACACCAAGGAACCAAGTGATGATGTGGGTTAGCGCCTGATCTCTCCATACATTTATTCTCACTATGACATATGTTCTTATTGTAACATCTGTTCTCATTGTGACGTTTGCTCTCATTGTTTCATCTGTTCTCTTTGTGACATTTGCTTTCATTGTTTCATCTGTTCTCATTGTATCATCTGTTCTCATTGTGACATTTGCTCTCATTGTATCATCTGTTCTCATTGTATCATTTGTTCTCGTTGTGACATTTGCTCTCATTGTATCATCTGTTCTCATTGTTTCATCTGTTCTCATTGTTTCATCTGTTCTCATTGTGACATTTGCTCTCATTGTATCATCTGTTCTCATTGTTTCATCTGTTCTCATTGTTTCATCTGTTTTCATTGTGACATTTGCTCTCATTGTATCATCTGTTCTCATTGTATCATCTGTTCTCACTGTGACATTTGCTTTCATTGTATCATCTGTTCTCATTGTATCATCTGTTCTCATTGTGGCATCTGTTCTCATTGTGACATTTGCTCTCATTGTATCATCTGTTTTCATTGTGACATCTGTTCTCATTTTTACCTTGTTCCACTTGTGCATCCATGAAAGTAAGTTTTACTCTATCAGGACATCACATAGAGTGATAAACACCCGGTGACACAAAGTGCCACCATGCGGATGAGGATCATCCATGGAGAGGTCCTGGAAACCGCGTTCACCATTAGATCATATTGCGGCCCTTGGCAACATTCAAGGTCGGGCTCAAAATAACGAAAAATTGCATCTCACAGGGGGGCTGAGGAAATTAACTATTACATCCATTGGATTGGATTTTTTACCCCACCAGGACATCACACAAGCGATAAACACCCGATGACACAAAGTGCCACCATGCGGATGAGGATCACCGTGGAGAGGTCCCAGAAACCGCGTTCAGACATTTGGCCATAATGATGACCTGCCTATATTGCAGCCCCTGGCAAGAGCCAGAGTGGGGCTTCAAGTAACAAAAAATAACGTCCTAAGAAGGACGAAAATATATAGCTATTACATCCATTTTCGTAGCGATATCGTATTAAATTTAAACTACAAATCACAAACCCTTTTTGTATTGTGTGTGGCAATTTTAATTCAGCTGTTAACTCATCTGAACCCGTGACTACCACATGGTTTAAATTTTCAATTGCTGTAATAGCTATAATGTTTAATGTAACAGTCACATCGGAAACCAGGTTTATAAGCATTTCTTGTATTTATTACAACAATCAGTAAAAGCAATCTTTTCGCTAGAGTTAAATCTCTTTGATTTTTCTTTGCTATTACATCTCTTACATTTTATTTTTCTAAACTTATATTTGGCTGTCATCTCCCTTGAAACTTAGACTGTACAATAAGAACATTATAGAAAGTGATTGCTTTATCGGTCAGATTTGGTGGGCTGACAACATGCTTAATTGTCACCCGAATTCTACCTCACATACGGCAGTGGTGGAGACCATGATGAGGTAGATGACGGGAGGATAAAACTCTTTCAATACCCTGGCCGAAGCCGGGCAAATAAATATAATGTGATATAATTTCTAACTGTGACAGGTAATTTAACGCAAAGTTAAACACTGCGACTAATCTAATCATTGTAAATCTTTACTCGTTGTGGCATCCTCACTCACCGTGGCATAGTTACTCATTGTGACATCTTTACTCATTTTGACATCGTTATTTATTGTTTTGCTCAGCTTGACATCTTTACTCAGTGTGACATTTGTGAACAAATTGAACTGTTTACTCATTTTGACAATTTGTTTTCTTTTTTTACATATTAGCCAATTTGACATATATGCTAATTTTGACAACTTTATTAATTTTGTCATCTTTACTCATTTTGACAACATTAATCATTTTGACATCTTTCGTCACTTTGATATCTGTTTACTGTAAAATCTTTAGATGATTATGTCTTCTGTCTATAGTACAACCAGATGGCGTTTATAGTCATCCTTTTAGTCCAGGGCGCTAAAGGAGTCACCGACGCCTTCCACTCGGGCTTCTTGCCTACACTGTATGTTGATGACAACATGCTGGACAAGTCCAAAATGGGAATTTTCTTTGGTAAGGAGAGAATTATTAGTTGAAATTGCTAAATATATAGAGCTTTTTATCCTGCTAGGAAAAGTAAATAATGAAGCTAGTGGCCGCATTTATGAGCTGGATTTAAAACTTAATTAGGCAGGTAAAATGTCATTTTTCTCCTTTAAAGCCATTGGTTGAAAACGCATGTATGTTCTGTGGATAATTGACGGCTGCAATGTTTACTGCCTGCATTTGCTGATGCATAATGTGAATTTGTACTAACATTCAACAAAAATAAGACAAAGGCTAAGGTACAAGATGTGAATGATAGATCTGTAGTCTACGTTGACGGTGAAGAGCTAGAGAAAGTCGACTATTTCACCTGTCTGGAAGAATAACAAACTACTGCTGGCTAAGAAATCAGCATCAGGATTTGTAATGCAGCAACAACAATGAGCTGGTTAACAAAAAGAGTTTGGGAGAACAAAAAGCTAACGATTGAAACAAAAACTCTCGTCTGCTCATGATTAAAACAAAAACTTTTGTCTATCTGGCTTGTGTTCTCAGCACTCTGCTTTAAGGCAGTGAAACTTGGTCAACTTATTCGCACAAGGAGAAACGGCTTAAATAGCATTAGCATGCGATACCTAAGAAGAATACTTGGCATTTAGTGGCAGGACAAGATCACAAATATTGAGGTATTGGAAAGTGCAGGTGTTACTACAGTCTTCTCAATGTTCAGTCTACGGAAGCTCATATGGCTGGACTACACCTGGAGAATGGAGGATGACAGGGTCCCTACGGACATCGTCTATGGTGAACTTAAGCCCGGTTAGAAGATGTCAAGGCTGACCTCTGCTACGATATAAAGATGTGTGCAAGTGGGACACGAATAATGCAGGTATTGATGTGGACTTGTAGGAACAAAATGCCATGGACCATGTTGTGTGGACGGGGCACATCAGGAAGGAAATGATAATAAACGATGACGTGATTGCAAAGAGGATGATAGCTGAGCGTCTGAGAAGAAACAGACTAAACAAAAATGTTGACAATAACGGTCCCGAAATCCCATGCTATAATTGTGGAAGACTTTTCTTAACACGGGCTGGTCTTGCTTGTCACACTCGCCATCGCCATGGACTGTGACGTCAAGTGATCGGCTGCGGAGGAAACAAACAAGTGGGGGATAATACTGATAAAGAAGAAAAAGTCGGTCACAGTGATGATGATTATGATGATGAGGATGATGAGGAGAAGGAGGAGAAAGACAAAAGAGAAGGAAAATGATAGGACGAGGGAGAAGAAGCAGTTCTGATGTAATACGTTTGAAAGCCGTTTAATTAATATCCTAATTTCTTTCTCAACTATCCCTATATCTCATCTCCAATACTCTATATGCACTATGTATGCCCGACCATCTCTTTGTCCAGTGTGATTGGCAGTTAGGTTTTTTTCCCCCTACTTTTAATAACCTCTATGTGCTTTCATTTGTATGTTTTTATTTCTATGTGCAGTCATATCTATTTCAGTCATCTTTATTTAAATCATCTCTGTTAAACGACAACTGGATAATGGAACTGAGTCTGTAGAACTGTGGATATCCAGAAGAATACAGCGGTTCTAGACAGATTTTGGAAATGAAAATAAAATCACTAACATAAATTACACACACACACAACTATTGAAATGGTTTTGTCACATTACAAGACAAAGCACTCTTTTGGAAAACCCATACTAGGAGGAAATGTCGAGGACAAGAGAGAAAGAGAGACAACTATACAAGTCTGACGACAATATCAAGAGATGTCAAACAGCAGTCTGAGAGAGTGTTTCAACCACGACCGGCTCCAGCTAACGGGCCGTGCTGCTGACGTCATCGAGTCGGGCAAGCGATGCGTTAACGCAGCGGTTCTTAAACAAGAAATAAACTATCTTCGACAGTGGTGAATGAAGACAACTTACATTTTAACTTTTAAGTCTCTACATGTCTTCTTTAATAATGTCACAACTTTTAGCCGACTTTTCTTGATTATTGCCGCGGCACCCCTGGCATACGTTCGCGGAACCCCAGGGTGCATCGGTACCCAGTTTGAGAACCACTGCGGTAACGCATCGTTAGCCCTACCCGATGACGTCAGCAGTACATCCCGTCAGCTGGAGTCGGTCAAGTTACCGCCAAGAAAAGAGAGGAAGCATGTTATAGATTCCTTGCAGCCAACCTTCATTGGTGAGACGGCATCTTATTGATTGATGGCAGTTACCTCAGGGCAGTTATTTCTAAGCAGTCTTCTATTGTTTAACCATCTCTCAGTTTAGTCTTCATTATATTAAATGTTCCATATATATGATCCGAATCTTCTCCAGCAAACCAAAAACATAGAAGCAGATAAGCCCACATAACGATATCAATATATTATTTTCATCACATTACACTGTCAATTAGCTGACAGCTCATCCGGTTATATAAAAATTAGTCTCCCCCAAAAATTAGGTCACGTTTCATTGACAACTTTGTTGGACTTGTCTACTTTCCTGGGGGTTACGGGTAGGCCGCTCTGCTGTTTGTTTTCTGACTTGTCGCGCTAACGTTTTTCTTCCGAAAAAGCGAATGCCTGTGACATAGGTTGCAGCTCCGTCTAGGGTGTTGTGTGTTAGACCCAGTTTGTCCATGTTTTTAAAGGGTTAGAAGAGCTGGCGTGCTGAATATATACAACATGCGATATTAAGGGCATTGCGGAACAACCCCGAGGCCTTGTGTGAAGGTTGCGTCTCTCAAGGTCGACCAATCAGAAGTGAGCTAGACTGAATGTTGACCAATCAAAAGTGAGGTAGTGTGTAACACAATGTAAATGGGAGACTAACTTTACTATTACCGTTAATCCTTACGGTGACAGCTTATGACAACAGTTTTGTGGTGGATTTGTATTCTACTTTGGCTCATTATGTAGGTATTTTGTTTTACCGCATCTCATTTGACCCTCTTTTATTAATGTACAGCTAAAACAGTAGACTCATAGAACTTGTTTTATTCATGCAATAGAAAATACAAGAAAGCTTACCCAATGCTTAACAACTGTCTCATATTTTCTTCTAAGGGATCAAGTACATAATAGGTGAGCTAGCCTCCCCTGTCGGCAAGCAACTGAACGCAATCTTAACTGAGGTCCCTACTGATCTTAAAAGTAAGTTAATGACACGGATGATATCAACTAACATTTCACTTACAATTCAACGGTGAAGACCTATACTCAGATGTACGGTCATTTCAAAACAATTACATTACAACTTGGAGAAAGGGGCAACGGACGAAGAAAAGACTACACTCCGCCCCCCCCCTTCCCCCGGAAAGTCACAAATTGGGCACGCAGGCACGTCTAACATTGGACACTCTTCAGACCATAAGTGCAGTTTATCAATAAAGAATGTTGTATTCATATAAAAATTTACATAATTTGACATTCAAGTTTTTAAAAAAAAAATGGTAAATGCCAGAACCTTCTTAGGTCCCATTAGCCCCGCCCCAAAAACAATTTTAGATAATGGGGGAGAGGTGGGGCAGGGGGGGGGGGGGGTCTCTTGACCCCCAACAAAGAAAACTACTTTCTACATGGGCTGTGTGGGCACCGTTAAGTAAGTTCTGAAAATCTCTTTTAACGTAGTGTTTCTACTTGTCATATAATTTCAACAATTTTATATTTGACTATCATTGACTATTAGTATACTCAAAAGTTTACTTATGCTCTTTGGTCTCCCCCCCCCCCCCCCCCCCCCCATTTTCTTTTTTTACCTAGATAATATAAATCTCTTGCCCCTTTGACGACGAAGCAGATCACGAAAGACCTATTAGTCAACGACATCATCCCCTCATTGGACTGCAGAGTACAGCATGCATGTTTAGCCCATACGTGTGCTCATTAGAATGGGAAAAAAAATAATAATCTTCGCACGTTCAACCGGGTATCCGTGATTTATAATGTTATCCTTTGCAATCCAAAGTGAGCTTTTGCAATTTTAGAGTGACTGCTTCAATTAGCACACAAATAAATAAATAAATAAATAAATAAATAAATAAATAAATAAATAAATAGCAAAAATGGGTGGGGGCACCACAGCACGAAACACATTGATGCAAAATTTGCCTCAAATTCGAAAACATCAGTTGCAGCGTCTGTGTTCTTCAGAAACAGAAGGACATGATCATACAACCCATTGGTAATTGTATAACGTACCGAGACACAATTTTATGGGATTTTAAATAAACAGACCAAACATTTCATTGTTTATTCGTGACCCCACTGAAAAGTTATTTCGTATCTGTTATATTTCTGTGTAAGCAAATTTTTTTTTTTAAACACAAAAAAAAAAAAAAAAAAACACGATTAGCCAAACATGAGAAAGAGACAATCAGCATTAATGGGTCATATTTAACGATGATAAAACCTGCTATATGTTATTATAATATTTACTCATCCCCATATGGGGTGTAATTTTTTTTTTTTTTTTTTTGCCCCACCCTGGCTTTTGCCGGGGGCCCTATATAGGAATAAACTCACAGGGAGCAAGTACAGCAGGGATCTACCAGTCCTCAGTAGAAGTTATCCTCGTCGAGAAACGTTTCGGCCCACGATCTCCTAGACGTTTTCAGAGGTGGGCCCACCTGAGTTCATGAAGCTCAGAGCTGGTACCCTGCGGCACAAAATTACCGGATGGTGTTTTCTTTCGGATAGGGACAAGACGACTTGTTCATGAAGCTCAGAGCTGGTACCCTGCTGCACAAAATTACCGGATGGTGTTTTCTTTCGGATAGGGACAAGACGACTTTATGATTTGCAGGAGTTACTGTGAGATAAGAAGTCATCGCGGTAGCCTAATTAGAACAGTCAGCATACCTGGACGATTGAGCGACAAGCTTACGATTGGTATACCGGACACATGTTGGACTTTTGTTAGCAGGTGGCAGAGGATCACTGGCAGACAATTCGGACACGATAAACTTTCAAGGGGTGAGAAACCCTTTTCCACTAGAAACCCGGACCAGCTCACCGAGGCCCGTCCCCTACGTTGTTTCGTTGCGTCCAAAGCCAACTCGAGGCCCTCTAGCTGCCTCGCCTAGCCGTTTGAGTGTTCGTTTCCGTTCATTACCGCGCAATCCTAGTTCATTAACCACATTATAGAGCGAAGTGGAAACGAGGCCTCTCGCTCCAACTTCGACGGCAAAGACCCGTACTGTGTACGCCTCGTCTCTCCTCAGACCGGTTGCTAAATCACTGTATTTCTCGAGCTTGTACAGGTGATTTTCATCCAAACGCGACTCATACGGGACAGTCAGCTCAATCAGGATTAGCTGCCGTTTCTCCGCAGAGTGGAGAACTATGTCAGGTCGCAGGTCGGTCTTCCGGATTAACTCGGGGTACCTTTCATGGCCCGGCAGATCAACCGTCAGTAACCAGTCCCTCGCACAGATGGAGCGAATGCGTCACGGTTGACCCTACCTTTTTTAATCTGCCCAGCCTTGAGGAAACGTATGGGGACGATAGTAGAACTGGCTCTAACGTTAGCCCTCATTCTAGCCTGGTCAACAACGGCTGCTAACTCTTTTAGCACCTTGTTGTGTCGCCAGGTATATCGGCTTTGGCCTAGGGCTTTCCTGCACGCAGACAGGACGTGCTCAAGAGTCTGCTTCGCTTTGCACAACGGGCAAGTCGGATCGTTAGTCGCAGACCATTTAACCATGTTAACACCGGACGGTAATACATCGTACGCCGAACGAACGATGAAGCTCAGTCGCAACGGGGTCATTCGCCAGATCTCACCCCATGTAGGTATTCTTGGCAATGCACTCTCCAGGCTGACCAAATGGCCCAGCTGCGACTGCTGGGCTGCTTTCTGGAAACGAACCTCGTTTTCGTTGTCCCTCACCTGTTGTATTACAATGTCTAGGCGTTCTTTGGCTGAGGCCTTTGACCACCAATTGACCTTTCCGTGCCCTAGGCCTCGGCGGTCGGTTTGAGTGTAACCCATTATCTCCCTGAAGAAGAAGAAGAAGAAGAAGAAGAAGAAGAAGAAGAAGAAGAAGAAGAAGAAGAAGAAGAAGAAGAAGAAGAAGAAGAAGAGAAGAAGAAGAAGAAGAAGAAGAAGAAGAAGAAGAAGAAGAAGAAGAAGAAGAAGAAGAAGAAGAAGAAGAAGAAGAAGAAGAAGAAGAAGAAGAAGAAGAAGAAGAAGAAGAAGAAGAAGAAGAAGAAGAAGAAGAAGAAGAAGAAGAAGAAGAAGAAGAAGAAGAAGAAGAAGAAGAAGAAGAAGAAGAAGAAGAAGAAGAAGAAGAAGAAGAAGAAGAAGAAGAAGAAGAAGAAGAAGAAGAAGAAGAAGAAGAAGAAGAAGAAGAAGAAGAAGAAGAAGAAGAAGAAGAAGAAGAAGAAGAAGAAGAAGAAGAAGAAGAAGAAGAAGAAGAAGAAGAAGAAGAAGAAGAAGAAGAAGAAGAAGAAGAAGAAGAAGAAGAAGAAGAAGAAGAAGAAGAAGAAGAAGAAGAAGAAGAAGAAAGAAGAAGAAAGAAGAAGAAGAAAGAAGAAGAAGAAGAAGAAGAAGAAGAAGAAGAAGAAGAAGAAGAAGAAGAAGAAGAAGAAGAAGAAGAAGAAGAAGAAGAAGAAGAAGAAGAAGAAGAAGAAGAAGAAGAAGAAGAAGAAGAAGAAGAAGAAGAAGAAGAAGAAGAAAGAAGAAGAAGAAGAAGAAGAAGAAGAAGAAGAAGAAGAAGAAGAAGAAGAAGAAGAAGAAGAAGAAGAAGAAGAAGAAGAAGAAAAAGAAGAAGAAGAAGAAGAAGAAGAAGAAGAAAAAGAAAAATAACACCAACAACAATAACAACTGCAGCAACAACAAACAGCAACAACAACAATAGGACGAACAAGAACAAAAGCATGTGTTAGACTTGTTATCTCGACATGAAAGGAATTTGTTTTATTGCTACCCTTTACTTGTGTGGGATGCCACATAGACTACTCACATAACGTGATATTGGTGACTCACAGAAACCGAGATGGACCCGAAAGATCAACGGTTTGTGGCCGCCTGGTGGCTGGCGTTTCTCCTCTTTGGGGCGGCGACTGCGTTCTTCTCCTTCCCCATCATCTTGTTTCCGAGATACCTGGTGTCCAGGAGACAACAGGAGGCTGCGTTGCAGCGAGCCATGGTCAGCTTCACACCTGATGATGATGAGAAGAAAACGATAACAGAGAAGATTAAAGTTAACTTTACACCCAGGTGAGACACCGAAGTTGTGTAACAGTTCTAACATGGTATTTATCATATTTTCAAGTAAGATGATTTGAAAAGAGTAGCATAACGGCGCTCTCCTTGAATAATTTGGAGTAAAAAAATTTACCCTAAGTATTTAAGGCTCAAACCTCAAGTAAGATGTAAATATTAAATAGACGTAATCTCAGAATAAATCACACTTTGAATTCCACAGACTACGGGAAAGACAATAACGATGTCCAGGTGTATTCGTTTGTGATGTGCGAACCACTGAACAAATCCGAATGTAGGTTGTCTTGTGAATTAAAAGACTACTAAATAATGCAAGCAATAAACGGTTTCACAATAGTAAATGGTTTATTTTTACCAGGCAATCGTAGGTTGATATAGGAAAAGAGCTGGTACCTTATACACCGCTAGGCGAAGGACAGCTTATGCATTTGAAATTCCCATCACCTTTGGGATAAAATTTTTCGTTATTTGAAGCCCCACCAAGACTTTTCCGCAATATAGCCAGGCCATAAATATGGCCAATTGGCTGAACGCGGTTTCTGGGACCTCTCCACGGTGATCCTCATTCACATGGTGGCACTTTGTGTCATCGGGTGTTTATCGCTTGTGTGATGTCCTGGTGGGGTAGAAAGTCAGTCAGTCAGTCAGAAGGACAGCTGCTAAGTCCATAACATCCGTCTCCATGTGGAACGAATTTTTAGCTATTCTGAAGCCCCAGCCTAGTTCTTGCCGGGGTCCATAATATAACCTGACGGTTGAACAGGGTTTTTGGGACTTCTCCATGGGTGATCCTCATCAGAATGGTGGCGCTTTGTGTCACCGAGTGTTTATCCCTCGGTGTGATGTCCTGGTGGGGTAAAAAAGTCATTGATTCGGGACAAAGCTTTTATTTTTAAATAATTTTGTTGACAAATATCATAATAGAACGTTTCAAATTATAACAGTCGAAAATTGTAAATAATTGCAGAAATATTTTAGACAGACTCGATTCCAAATGTGGGCACCTGGGCCTATTTAGGGAGCCAAAAAATAAACAAACTGCCTCGCCTAAAAAAAAAAAAAAAAAATTAATGTCGCAAAAGGCGACTAATTAGGGACTTGCTGAAATAGTAAGCGTTGGGTCAAAATGTGCAGATATTGCAGCCTAGCTGTAAACCGCAACATAACCTAACACCCCCTTTTATAATAGCGAACACAGAAGAAGAGCAGATATGTTGACCAACAAGGTGTCGTAAAGTCAAGAACTCTTTGCCCCGCCTTCAGGCGTTTTGGTTGTTTAGAGCTAGTCCTGTCATTTAGAGACTAAGTTCGCCACTCGGTCAGTGATGTCATAAGCATTACGCCAGCCGCCTTTAATTCCCTGGACTACACCTGGTACCCGTTAAAGGCTTGGTCGACCTAGGAGCTAAGGTCATTTTGGAAAAAAATAAAAATAAGTCCGGCTCCGTCTGGGCCTAAACCCACCACCTTCGGATCGGCAGGTGAGCTTTAGACAGTACACCACAGAGGCTTCCTATACATACAAATACATTTTGAGAAGAAGATAAAGACATCAGGAGCCTTTCTTGGCAATGGTGAAACGTCGCAAGCTAGCTTTGTTTGGGCACATGGTGAGACATGATTCGATTGCAAAGACTGTACTTCAAGGAACTTTTGGGGGTAGTCAAAGAAGAGGTGGGCAAAGAAGAACCTGGAATGATAACAACAATAAAATAGGCAGGACTAAGTTATTATACACTTATTCATCATGCAGATGACAGAGAAATATGGCGGGTTTTATATGCTACCATTAAAGCAGGTTACGGAATCTACATAGGTTATCCCGATTGATCTGTTGAAGAGATTTTTGATGCATGCGGGGAATTCTGTTCAAACTATGAAGCTGAAATAATTGCACTGGAAACAGCAGTATACCACCTAAAGACTGTAATGGATGTTTACCCCTCAAAGGTCCAAAATATTGTCATCTTCACAGATTCAATGTCTGCCCTTCAAGCTCTGGAGGACAATGAACGCTGCAGAACTGACATAGCCAAGATAATCCTGGATGCCGATCAGCTTATTACCTCATACAACATCAGAATAGTGATGCAGTAAATTCCAGGTCACTCCGGCACACCAGGTAATGACAGAGCTGACAGATTGGCAAAGAAAGGAGCAACACAAGAACAACCACCTACAGCGACAACCCTCCAGACAGCAAAAACACTGATAAGAGCTATAAACAAAGAGACTTGGTTGAACAGATGGGCCATGGGAGACACTGGAAGAGAGGTTTATAGACATATGTCTGGCCCTGATCCTAATGACAGCATTAACCATCTAACAAGAAGGGACCAGGCCACCATCTTCAGACTTAGAACGCAACATACTCCACTCAATGGACACCTAACCAGAATACAGCCACAACACTCCCCAGAGTGCCAGCTATGTAACTACCCCTACGAAACTGTTGAACACCATCTCTTTGAGTGCCCAAAACTCAGTGAGACAAGAAGAACGCTACCCCCTCCGAGACCAGACAAGTGGAACACCTTGTACGGAGGAAAAGAACAGCTTGTGAAAACATGCAAATTCCACTACATGGCAATGGGCCAAAGGGCGAAAGCTCATGCGCCGCTGGATCGATAACAACAACATATGCTTCCATCAATAAACCTGCAATACCCTAATGGGTCAAGGGTTATGTTATGTGTTAAAGACAATAGATATGTGACCAATAAAGGAGCTTTTTTTATCTTTCAGCAAACCGAATATTGTGGTGATTGGAGTAAACGATAATTTACCTTTAAGTGAGAGTGGCAAGCACAGTTTTACTCCGAGATCCTCAGTGAATAGAGCGAGTTTCAACAGTAATGCTTCCAGTAGAAAGTAAGTACACTGCCGAGTTCAGAAAGAATATTTTCTAGTTATAAATTTTACAAATGTCGGCACAATATAATGAACAGTTAAGTACTTTGATATATTTTTGGAGTTTCGCTTTTATCATCTTTTAATGAAGTATAAAATATTGGCACACTTCAACCAAAATACACAAATCATTAGACCTCTTGTTTATACATTATTGCAATGAAGTTCAAGATTAACTAGACGGTTATCATTTTACACTGGCCAGTTTGTCCCTATTAGCTTACAGCGAAATGTTTAGAATTCTCTAGTCACACACACAGACACACACACGTACGCACACACACACACGCACGCACGCACACACACGCACGCGCACGAGCACACACACACACACGCACGCGCGCGCAACCCAAATGTTTGGATAGAGGTGGGGATTCGAAGACAGCCTATTACAAAAATAAGAAAGAGAAATTCATAATTTTGTATGGGTCATATTATAAGAACAAGGGAGCTCGAACAAGTTGAGACAACTGGAAAGATCTGAGAAACAGGAGACAAGATGAGACAACATGAGAAGATTCTTGAAAGCCTTTTGTCATAGAATGGAGAGATGTCAGCACATGAACTGTTACATGCTGTTGAATATCGCATATTGTGGAGAGGTATGATCGTCTAAGCCAGCAGTGGGCAAGGCACTTGGTGCTGTTAATTATCCAAAATCAAAGTATCACTTTCACCAGTGTCGCATTAGTTAGCGGACAGTAGTACTTTGAACTGAAGTTAAGTATAACTTCCATTTTCAAACCGATTTGTTTCCCACATGAATATTTAAATCACACCAACGTGCTCTAACATGAAAACCTGATTCGACTACCAACGTTCCCCAACATGAAAACCTGATTCGACTACCAACGTTCCCCAACATGAAAACCTGATTCACGTTCCTTTGTTCCAGAAAAACTTAATTCCCACCCATCTGTTGCCATAGGAAACTTTCACACCTTTTTGTTGCCACAGAAGAGATTAACATCTGTTTTTTTAACTACAGGAAAACTTGCTTCACACCCATTTATTGCCATATGAATACCTTATTCACACCGAGCTTCTGCCACTTAAAATTTTACTTACATCTTATTCACACCTTATTCACACAACAGGAAACTTGATTTATGAAACCATTATTGCCTTAGGAATTCCTTATTCACCCTTGATCTGCTGCTACAGAAACCTTCACACACATCTGTTGCCAGAGAAAACCTTGATTCACACCCATATATTGCAATAGGAATGCCTTATTCACACCCATCTGTTGCCACAGAAAACCTTCACACATATTTTTTGCTACATACTTGATTTACGACTGTTTGTTGCCACTGGAAATCTTGATTCCCCACCATATATTGCAATAGGAATACCTTATTCACACACATGTGTTGCCACAGAAGACCTTCACGCATATTTTTTGCAACATATTTGATTTACAACTGTTTGTTGCCACAGTAAGCCTCGATTCACACATATATATTGCCATAGGAGTATGTTATTCACACCCGTCTGTTGCCACATTAGGCCTCGATTCACACCTAAATATTGCCACAGAAATACCTTATTCACACACATCTGTTGCCACAGTAAGCCTCGATTCACACCCATTTATCGCAATAGAAATACCCTATTCACACCCATCTGCTGCCACATTAAGCCTCGATCCACACCTAAATATTGCGACAGAAATATCTTATTCCCGCCAATCTGTTGCTACAGTAAGCCTCGATTCACACCCATATATTGCAATAGAAATACCTTATTCACACCCATCTGTTGCCACATTAAGCCTCGATTCACACCTAAATATTGCCATAGTACCTTACCCACACCAAGCTGTTTCCACAGAAAACCTTGACTGACATTTGTTGCAACAGGGAAAATGTACGTTTCAGTCAAATGTACTTGTTCTGTTGATGTAGTGACAAACATGTCAAGAATCATACATCATGAGTGGAATGGACTGGGTTGAATATACACTGTTGTCTCTATTGGTCAAAGGTCCAGCCTGTTTCCGCCAATCAATGGTCTCTCTGAGAGGAAGGTCAGCATAGATGGCAGCATGGCCTTTAACCAGCCGATCAAAATCAAACCGCGCCCTAATGGAGGAGCAACTTCCCAGACCAGCGCAACAGAGCTCATCAAAGGTTGGTTGTAACTGTCACACACTCACAGCAACAGAGCTCATTAAAGGTTGGTTGCAACTGACACACACACACAGCCACAGTGCTCATCAACGGTTGGTTGTAACTGACACACACACAGCCACAGTGCTCATCGAAGGTTGGTTGTAACTGACACACACTCACAGCCACAGAGCTCATCAAAGGGTGATTGTAACTGACGCAAACTCACAACCACAGAGCTCATCATAGGGTGGTTCTAACCGACACACGCTCACAGCGTCAGAGCTCATCAAAGGCTGATTGTAACTGACACACACTCACAGAAACAGAGCTTATCAAAGGTTGGTTGTAAATGACATACACTCACAGCCACAGAGCTCATCAAATGTTGGTTATAACTGACGCACACATACAGCAAGAGAGCTCATCAAAGGTTGGTTGTAACTGACACACACTCACAGCAACAGAGCTCATCAAAGGTTGGTTATAACTGACACACACTCACAGCCACAGAGCTCATCAAAGGTTGGTTGTAACTGACACACACTCACAGCAACAGAGCTCATCAACGGTTGGTTGTAACTGACACACACTCACAGCAACAGAGCTCATCAACGGTTGGTTGTAACTGACACACACTCACAGCCACAGAGCTCATCAAAGGCTGGTTGTAACTGACACACACTCACAGCAACAGAGCTCATCAACGGTTGGTTGTAACTGACACACACTCACAGCCACAGAGCTCATCAAAGGCTGGTTGTAACTGACACACACTCACAGCAACAGAGCTCATCAACGGTTGGTTGTAACTGACACACACTCGCAGACACAGAGCTCATCAAAGGCTGGTTGTAACTGACACACACTCACAGCAACAGAGCTCATCAAAGGTTGGTTATAACTGACACACACTCACAGCCACAGAGCTCATCAAAGGTTGGTTGTAACTGACACACACTCACAGCAACAGAGCTCATTAAAGGCTGGTTGTAACTGACACACACTCACAGCCACAGAGCTCATCAAAGGCTGGTTGTAACTGACACACACTCACAGCAACAGAGCTCATCAACGGTTGGTTGTAACTGACACACACTCACAGCCACAGAGCTCATCAAAGGCTGGTTGTAACTGACACACACTCACAGCAACAGAGCTCATCAACGGTTGGTTGTAACTGACACACACTCGCAGACACAGAGCTCATCAAAGGCTGGTTGTAACTGACACACACTCACAGCAACAGAGCTCATCAAAGGTTGGTTATAACTGACACACACTCGCAGACACAGAGCTCATCAAAGGCTGGTTGTAACTGACACACACTCACAGCAACAGAGCTCATCAAAGGTTGGTTATAACTGACACACACTCACAGCCACAGAGCTCATCAAAGGTTGGTTATAACTGACACACACTCACAGCCACAGAGCTCATCAAAGGTTGGTTGTAACTGACACACACTCACAGCAACAGAGCTCATTAAAGGCTGGTTGTAACTGACACACACTCGCAGCCACAGAGCTCATCAAAAGTTGGTTGTCACTGATACACTCTCGCAGCAACAGAGCTCATCAAGTCCAAGTCCAAGTCCTTTTGAGAGAAAAAAAAAAAGAAAAGCTCGACCACGTTCAGACTGCTGCTAGCTAGCCTAGGCTGCTAACAGTCTCCGCCTATATTTGTGGTCTGGGTTATTTGCGTCACTTTCGTGACTGAATACTGGTGTTTGTGCCATTTCTGGCTTAATGCTTCCATCCGAATCAAACCGCTCGTCCTGTTGTCACTGGTGCATGTCTTCCTTCTTCATTCTTGGTGTTTCCTGTTTGTTCTGTCTCCCTTTGATTTGGCGTATCTCGAAGGAGAGCGAGCTTCCAAACACAACGACCTTTCGGCCACCATTTATTGTTTTAAAATTTTGAGTATTTTAATTTTGCCAAAAAGTACTGAAAACAGTTTTTGAATGTGAATAGTTCCGAAATGTGAAAATGTTCCACGTGTGACCATAGTGGTCTTATAGTTGTCTTCCTGTAATATGAACCGGTTAGTCATGTAATGGATATGTGTGTGAGAGTTTGTATGGAGTCTTAAGCGGGTCCAGTCGTCATTTGTTATTATGTGATCGGGTTGTGTTGATAGCTAAGCTCCGTTGTACGTAAATACCATATAACCGGACCGTCCAGCTCACGCTTTGAGATCCAAATGATCGGCGATGAGAATTGTTGTGGCATGTTGGGCAACGAACTCAAGTGCTCTCTGTGGGAATGGGTTGGGGGGTTAAACTCATAGTGCATCCGAAAGAGTTAGGGAAAGGTGGGGGGAAGGGGAGCGGGAGGCCATTCAGTCAATTCTCGTCGTTGCCGTCTTGCTGAATTCTAGCATGGCTTTTTGCCGGGACTATGTGTATCACGTTACCAACCCTTGCTATCATTCCTGTGATGGGGTGGTATTGGAGGTTATGCGTTCTAGTCCTGTCATTATCGAGTCACTTGTATTCCCTTTTTGCTGTCAGTCATATTTTTGTTATGAGTCCTGTCGGTCATGTGCATGTTGTATGCATGCTGTGGAGTGGGATGGTTTTGTTTATGAATCCCCGGAGTATATGGACGCACCCAACTAGGTGTATGCGTACATGCACTCGAGTACTCATACATGCAGACAACACTACATATTTGTACGTCCTTTCATACTTATCCGTGTATGCATACCTAATTGACATTACGTACACACGCAAACTCTTTCATATGCGTTTACCAATGCCTGTACTTACATTCATAAAAAAACGAGTACATCCACACGTAGTGATATTCACTCTTCCATGTCTTATGCGTTTTGTGTCGCTTTGTCTGTAATTTCGTCTGGTCGTGTCACTTTTAAGTTATGTCCTCATCAAGAGTTGGTTGTCACTGATACACTCTCGCAGCCAAAGAGCTCATCAATGGTTGGTTGGATTTTATAGCCTATCGCCACCACAATGTGTAATGGTGTTGAGTCCCTTCCCCACGTTCGCTCCCCCCCCCCTTTTTTTTTTCCTCCTACTCTTCCTTCTTCAGGGCAACGTCATAGTATTTGTTTGTCGCTGCGTTTGCTTGTAGCAACAGTTCATTCAATCAACACATTAGAATTTACGGTACCATTGACTTTAGTCAGTACAAGAAACAATAAAAAGAATCATTACTTTAAGTTACTAAAGACATTGTATCTGACAGATTTCCCCAAGGCGCTGGTGCGAGTGTTCAAAAGGCCAGTCTTTCTCCTAATGCTGGTCGACATCGCCATTGTGTCCATCCCTACACAAGGCATCTCTGTCTTCAGAAGCATCTACATGTCCAGCGAGTATAACGTCTCGATGACCGAAGTAGCCACGTTGACCGGTAAGGTTCTGTGTCTAGTCCTTTATATCGTCATTGTTAGTTTAACTTCTTTTACTGCTGGACGGATAACAGAATGCTGCTCCTCTTTTGTGCATTTCAGAAGTATGACGGCCATATTAAAATTGTTATTATGACGTCACTGTGTTCGTCTGCGCCGTTATGTCAACGTGCTTGATACTCCTGACATCTTTTACAACAATGGCATGCTTATTGTAATTTATATCACACTGTTAGTGTTTTCATTTGAAACCTCTTGTATTTATTAACTTTAAGCTCAACTCTTTGCGATGAAAAGAGTTAAAATAACAACTGCTTGTTACTGGAATATACCTACCGACACATGATGGCTGATACAGTCAACATTAAATGGCCCGCTTTTACTTCCCATAGTATTTCTGTGCACCCATGTTAGGCTGGGTTGACATCAGAGCCATAGTGAATTATCAAGAAATTGACTGGATACGGACTGGAACCCTAGGCGGTCAGATTTGTAGGCAAGTGTTTAGTCGCTACGCTACTGGGGTTCCGTTCCTTTGCGCAGCACATATCAGTTAGAACACACGTGCAATAATGAAAACAAAATGCAAACAAATGGTTGGGTATAGTGTCACTGCTCTTGTTGGCATCTCTCCGTCTTTCCAGTGTGCTGTGGGGAAGCATGGGAGTCACAGCCCATGGCGACGTCGAGTGTGACTAGCAAGAACCACATGTCTTAAGACATCATCATCAAGTGCCTTGCCAGCTGACGTGGGTTTTCGTGCATCTCCACAGATCTCGGTCTTTGGTGCTCTGGATCAATTCCAGTGATGATATTCCTCAATGCCACTGTCTTAAGCTATCCACAATCATTTCTCTTGGTCTGCCTCTGTCTCGTATAATATTTTTGTCAGAAAGGGAGTTTCTGAAAAGAAAGGAATAATTTTAATATTGTCGCCACTCTAAAAGACATGACACTTTTAAAAACCCTACAGGAGGGAAAGGTTGATGGCAAGAGAGCAAACTGGTAGACAACAATACATGTGGGGGGACAACAGGAAGAGATGGACGGGCAGTAGTCTGGGGAGAATATGCAACTAAGACAAGAGTCAGAGCGTTTAGGACATCCATTGCAGCCAACCTACATTGTGGAGACGGTACCTGATTCATTGATTGACAATATATTTAGAGAAAAGGATAGCGAAGCAGTAAATTATATTTAAGAAATATTATTTACCAACGAAAGAGCATTAGTACCAGAAACATAATAAATCAATCATAATATATGTATATTTTTTATTATTCAACAAGTGAAAATTATAATAGAAATGTAACGTTAGACAGAATGAAACAGGGCTTCCAGTTGGAAAACAGAAACCATATTAGGCCACAAATATTACATAAAGTTAACAAACAAGTGTGTTTAAATATGTTAGGTCCATTTTCAGAATCGAAAAGTACACATAAAATACATCTTCCGCCATCGCCATCCCACCACAGGCGTTTCACGAAGTTCGCTGGGGTAATAGAAGAAGAAGAAACTGATGCACGGACATAATGCACACATAAACGAGCTCTCTCGCGCAAACACAAGCATGTTCGTCTCATTCTTCTCATGTTGGTTTAATATTTATTCTCTTTTATCAATGAATCGTCACACGCAGAGGCGGACACACATTCAGTTTCGTAGCAAGGTCATGTGGTACACGGTGGTGGAACATATCTTGTGTGTCCTCTCCTCCGCACATAGAGACACAGACAAACACATACACACACACACACACGTGTGTTTATGTATAATATATATGTGTGTGTATATATATATATATATATGTGTGTGTGTGTGTGTGTGTGTGTGTGTGTGTGTTGTTCGTCCATCAAGAGTGATGAAGAACATTTTTCATCCAGAGTAGAAATGATCAATGATTATGAGTACAAAGGTGGCTGATTAGTCCAATATGAGCCTGAAAAGTTCTTGAGCAGTGTCACAACAGATGGAAACCGCAGTAGGTGTGAAATTATCGGTAAGATTCTTTCTAGTATGCCTCCGTTTCTCTGCCAGTGCGACCTCCGCTGCCTAGCAGGCTGATGTCCCATGCCAGAGGGACGTACGCCATCCAGAACGTTCTTTTGCAGCAGCTTCCCACGTAGCAGTGTTGATGCCAACAGAATTGAGAGCAGTTTTGAATGTCCTTATAGCGCTTTTTCTGTCCTCCCTGGGATCTTTGTCTTTGCTGGAGCTCGCCATAAAATACTCTCTTTGGGAGGTGATATTCTGGCATGCGGGTTAGGTGACCAGCCCAACGAAGCTGATAATACTTTAGTATCGTGTGGATGCTAGGTAGGTTTGCCCTCTCAAGAACCACAGTATTTGGGAATCTTATCTTGCCATTTGATTTTGAGCAGCTTTCTTAGACAAGTTATACGAAACTGATTAAACTTTTTAGCATGGCGCTGATACACAGTCCACGTTTCGCAAGTGTAGAGCAGTATTGGAAGAATTACAGCTTTGTAAACCTTTAGTTTGGTCAGCAGGGAGATACCACTTCTGTTCCAGACGCTGGTATAAAGTCTGCTGAAACTGCTGCTGTCCTTTGAGATTCTAACATTGATCTCATCGTCGATGTTGTCTCCCTGAGATAGGGTACTGCTAAGATTATGGGTGGATAGTCAGCCAAGTGTGCAGCCAGCAATAGCGATCCTTGTATATATATACCTTATCGCCAAAGGGATATTTTAAGTCTGTGTACTACCAAAGTATCCTAAACACTTTATTTCTTGTTATTTACCAAAACGGTTGGTTCAGTACACACTTTGTCTGGTGTTGGTTGGTACATGATTGCAGTTTTCTCCGTGTTCATGGTAAGCCAATTCACTGGCAATTCTGAATAATGTAATACCATTAACTTATATTTAAACACATTTAATATAAATCTCTACAGGAGTTACCGGTGCTGTCAGCCACGTGATAGCCACCCTGTCTAGTGGTTGGCTGGCCAGCAGGGTCAAGAGCAAAGTCGGATACATGTGGATCATCTTTGTCACCTATCTGGCCGCCATCTGCATTACACCCATGTGGATTATTCTCGGCTGTGATAACCAGCCGGTGTATGGACACGAGGGCAGATTGTAAGTTCCTAATGTTTCGTTTGCTTGAAATTGATTGTCTATATCTGCAGTGTTGTCTCTTGTGTGTGTCTATATCTGCAGTGTTGTCTCTTGTGTGTGTCTATATCTGCAGTGTTGTCTCTTGTGTGTGTCTATATCTGCAGTGTTGTCTCTTGTGTGTGTCTATATCTGCAGTGTTGTCTCTTGTGTGTGTCTATATCTGCAGTGTTGTCTCTTGTGTGTGTCTATATCTGCAGTGTTGTCTCTTGTGTGTGTCTATATCTGCAGTGTTGTCTCTTGTGTGTGTCTATATCTGCAGTGTTGTCTCTTGTGTGTGTCTATATCTGCAGTGTTGTCTCTTGTGTGTGTCTATATCTGCAGTGTTGTCTCTTGTGTGAACTTCACTGTCTTTTGTAATGCACCGGTAAAATTTGATCTTGACCGCTATTTTTCTTGGCCAGAAGTTTTGCATTGATAAATTGTTTTTTGGGACAGTTTTGGTGGACTTGATGTTTTGTCTCAGGTGCCTGTCTACGAGTGAACATGACTGATTTTTAAATCGTACAGTTTATGTACATGTGGCTGCAAAGTCAATGGTGCTTTGTTCTAATGTGTAGAATAATGACTTGCTCTAGTCTGTCCACAGGATTGTAATTGTTTTTCCCCGGTTTGTGGTGTTTGCTAATTTATTAGATTACTCTCTTCTTCTGTTGACAAGAGACTCGTACATCAGTTTGTTCTTCATTCGCACCTTCCTTTTCTGGTTTGTATTGTAAGTTCGAGGTTCTGTGTAATTATTCTGTGGTTAGTAAACTATATATGTGTGTAGGACATAGGTATGTGGGACAGACTTTTGTAGGAGACACTCAAGTAAGTTGTAGGACGGAGTAGTTCATGACTCAGTTGTGTAGGCCATACATAAGGACACACTTATTTATATTGTAAGATCTAGGACTACTAACAAAAAACATATGTTTGTAGGACACACTTATTTATCTTGTGAGATCTAGGACTACTAAAAAAGAACATATGTTTGTAGGACACACTTATTTATCTTGTAAGATCTAGGATTACTAACAAAGGACATATGTAGGACATTTTTATTTATCTTATTAGATCTAGGACTACTAACAAAGAACATATGTTTGTAGGACACACTAATTTATCTTGTAAGATCAAGGACTACTAACAAAGAACATATGTTTGTAGGACACACTAATTTATCTTGTAAGATCTAGGACTACTAGTAAAGGACATTTGTATGTAGGACACACTTATTTATCTTGTAAGATCTAGGACTACTTACAAAGGACATAAATATGTAGGACAAATTTATTTATGTTGTAGGATCTACTAATATGAGACATACGTATGTAGGATCTACTAATCTAGGACATACGAATGTTGGATCTACTAATCTAGGACATAAGTATGTAGGATTTACTAATATAGGTCATATGTATGTAGGATCTAAAAATATAGGACATACGTATATAGGATCTACTAACCCAGGACATACTTATGTAGGATCTACTAATATAGGACATACGTATACAGGATCTACTAATCTAGGACATACGAATGTAGGATCTACTAATATAGGACATACGTATATATTATCTACTAATCCAGGACATACTTATGTAGGATCTACTAATATAGGACATACGTATATAGGATCTACTAATCCAGGACATACTTATGTAGGATCTACTAATCTAGGACATACGAATGTAGGATCTACTAATATAGGACATAGGTATATAGGATCTACTAATCCAGGACATACTTATGTAGGATCTACTAATATAGGACATACGTATACAGGATCTACTAATCCAGGACATACTTATGTAGGATCTACTAATCTAGGACATACTTATGTAGGATCTACTAATATAGGACATAGGTATATAGGATCTACTAATCCAGGACATACTTATGTAGGATCTACTAATATAGGACATAGGTATATAGGATCTACTAATCCAGGACATACTTATGTAGGATCTACTAATCTAGGACATACTTATGTAGGATCTACTAATATAGGACATAGGTATATAGGATCTACTAATCCAGGACATACGAATGTAAGATCTACTAATATAGGACATAGGTATATAGGATCTACTAATCCAGGACGTACTTATGTAGTATCTACTAATATAGGACATACGTATATAGGATCTACTAATTCAGGACATACTTATGTAGGATCTACTAATCTAGGACATACTTATGTAGGATCTAATAATATAGGACATACGTATATAGGATCTAATAATATAGGACATACATATATAGGATCTAATAATCTAGGACATACTTATGTAGGGCAGGTTAATGTAAAACACATTTATGAAGGAAACATTTATTTAAGTTTTTCATTCATTCATTTCTTCAGTGTCTTATTGTGTCACTATATGTCACATAAGGCTCGCAACATATTTATCCATTTTATTATATCATGTGCAATCACTTGGATATCATGGATGGAATCTTGTCCAGCACCATTGTCTTTTTTCATTAACGTTCGCTTTGTGGTGTGTCTTCGGCGTCCTCATTTCCTCAGTCCCCCAGTTTCCCATTCCACTTGAGCTGAGTTGAGTTGAGTCAAGAATTGACATCACAACACTCAGGGGATTTCCATGCGTGCTCCGTCCTCATCTTTAGCAGCCAGCGCAGAGATCCAATACTGATGGTACCTGCAGTTTCCCACTCCAGTGCCTATTTAATGATTCTTTGATCGTTTCGTCCCAGCATCTGTTCAATGTAGCGTCATCTTCTGTCATAACTTTTGATGAATCTAGTGGTTACCCAGATATTTTTCCTATTTCTTCAAGCATCTTTTTTAAATTATAGGACTTACAAATATAGGTTACATTTACGTAGGCTGCAGTTATGTCAGGCACATGTATAAAATGTCCATACTCTACCGCTCCCAAACAGCGGTATCCCAGCCAACATGACAGAAGCCTGTGGCTGCGACGCTGTCAAACAACTCATCTCCTGTGGGTCGGACGGTAGAAACTACTTGACTCCTTGCCATGCTGGATGCGAGAGTTCTATAGGCAAAGTATGTCTTCGCTTGTCCGTCTGTTTTGTTTTTCTTAATTTTTTTACTCCTTTTGTTTAGCTCAAGTTAAAAAGTCATCGTTTTACACAAAACCTCATGTCCAGATGTAACAGTATCAAAGCATGTAATGCCTTTTGTGATCTGATTTTTGTTGGTAGTCATCTTATGTGCCTAAACCATCTGCCAGTTGACACTGAACTGGTGATATACCTTATGCTCAATTTCCTGTGCAGGCTGCTGATTTTAGGGTGACTTCTACTTCTTTAGACAACGATTTGCAGTTTCTGTATCTAGCAGTTGAATTGTTTACTTCATTCATATCTTGCAACGCTGGGTATTATCACTAAGCAGATGACAGTGGCAACAACATGTGCTTTTAACAACAAAAATGTGAGTGAGCGAGTCTGTGTGTATACACGAGGTAATATACAATTTTGTCACCGGGTGCCTTGCAATACCTCTGGGGTGACAGGAAATGTTCCGCATCGGGTACAACCTGACCTCGCTATGCCACCACTGGAAAATGCACCGGAAAGAATAAAACTATAATGGAATGCTAGAACATTTTATGAACCATATCAAGAAGCTAAACACATGTTGGAGAATTCTTCCTCTTCTTCTGATCGCTCTCTAATTTTCACCGACAGAAGAGTTTTGTGATAAAATTGACTCTGTTTTCTTTTCTGTTGGTGGAGGGTGAGGCTCTCTTTTTGGTTCCGTTCAGTTTTGAGTACGGTTTTGGCTCATTGGGGCAGTGTTCCTTTCTTATGGGACTTTACAAATGTCATTCTTCTAGGATATGTTATATAGTCTGTACACACAATCCATATGGGCATAGTGGTGAACTACCCAGCCTTAAAAAGGCACTGGGAAAAAGTCCTGGGAAGTAAAGGCGGTTGACTGTTCTATAAAATTTAGGTATAGCCCTATATGCCGAATGCGCATGTAGACATGAAAAAGAATTCTTTACTTTTTATTTAATTAATTAAAAAATGTCTGATACAATTAGTTATTTAAAAAAAAAAAGGTTTATATCAACAAAGAAGACACAAAACAGTGATAGTCTAGATAATGTGTTTGTCTGATTGATTGTTAGGTAATTACTTTTGTTAGTGTAGATAAATTTGTAATCAATTTTAAATGATACCTTTATTTGTTTCATGTAAAACCCGACTAGATACAACGAAATATTCAATACATCTTGCGTCTTCTGTTCTCAAATTTACCTCAGGAAAACATTGCTTCAATTACTGTTTAATTAAAAAACCCAATGTAATACTTTGTCTTATGTGTTCCATTCAATTCACACACACACACACACACACACATACACACACAAAGTACCGCGTTCAACCTCCTGCTGCAGCGAGCCTCCAACAGTCTCCGGTTATATTTGTGGACTTGTTTATTTGCGCCTCTTGCATGACTAACATTTTATGTGTGCCATTTTCTGGCTTTGTGTCGCTTTTCTAGAAGCTAGACCTGCTCCTTCCTCTCTGAGTGCCAATATGTTCCTGTTATCGTTATCTTCTTGAGATTTTCTTAATGGGTCATCCTCCATCCGGTTCATTCTCCGCTGCTTTCCCATCTTCCCCTTGGATGACGTCACAGGACAGTCCAGTATTTTCGAGGGTGGTAAGTGGGAGTTTCCCTGTTTTCTGATGCTTTGAACTACCCCAAAACATCTTAAACTGGCCCTAACCCCAACCCACCTACGTCCCACGAAAGAGTACAGCCTAGGTCCCACGACTGCATGCAGCCTACCTACCACCCCCTAAAACATTCGACTGTCTGTTTGGGGGGAGATATTCGGATAGACCCTTTCTCCTTATTATTTCCACCTTGTGTCCTCCAGTGTGTTCCCGAATCTGTTCCCTTTTAGTTTGGCCAGTTTTACCTCGTAAGAGACCGAGCTAGTTCGCAATTGTGTATAAACGTATCCCAATGTGACCTTTTTTCCCCAGACTTTCGTAAACTGTACCGGCATCGCAGATGCAGCGATGACGTTGGTTCCTGGTCTTTGTCCCACCCCGTGTAAGAGGAACTTCTATCTCTATGTAGCACTGCATGCCATACAAGGAATGATCAGTGGCATGGCAAATATTCCAAGGAGGCTGCTCTTACTGAGGTACGTACAAGCAAACAAACAACTAAACACATAACATTTGATGGTTTACAGTAGTTTACCTAAACTACATTGGCTGCGGAGGATGAGGACGGAGCACGCAAGGGAATGCACTGAGTGCTGTGATGTAGATTTTTCACTCAGCTCAACTCAACTCAGTATTTCACCTTGGTTAGACTTCATGAGACATTATTTTAACCTGTAAGCTTCTACATATTAACTTGGATTTTTTTTGTCCTGCACTTATTGAATATTTTCTTTAAACATCCAAGCTTTAAGGTGTCCTCCCCCCCCCCCCCCCCCCCCCCCCCCCCCACATATTGCATACTTTCTTTGAACATACAAGGTTTATTCTTTTTATTTTTACACATTTAATTGAGCTTCTGCAAATTAGGTTAAAAATTTTCTCTTTCCATATTTTAAAAATATAT